GCCCACCAAAACATACCCAAAATGGGCAGGCTGGTGTTGGTGTTTTTAAATTTTTTAAAAAATTTGCATCTCAATGGCAAAACATTCCAGCGATTGAAGGTTGCCTGTATTGGGGCACCTCTCTCTGCTCTGCCTTGCAATTTTATGCGTCTCTCTCTCTTTCTCTCTGGTCTCCTCTATTTGCCTCTGTCTCCAGCCTGAGCCAGGATCATATCCCTCTCTTCAATACCAACACCAATGGTGCAAATAAATTATCTTGTGTGCTTCAGCTACTGTGCTTTACACAACAGTAAATGGGGCTACTCTCATGTAAAGGAGGAGGAGCAAACAAGGCTGCTGAAATGCTCAAACACTTCAACGCATGTGCAAAAAAAAATGCAACAAAACAAACCCCGGAACAGATGGAACTCCTGAGGGGAAGGCTGAACTGATCCCACTGATATCATGATCATCAGAAGCAAGGGTCGTTTGGGGCCAGAGCACGCCAGAGCACTGCTCCGGCAGCCCCGGTAGCGGCAAGCCCCAGCTCCCTGCCCCCAACTCCTTCAGTCTAGAGTCGCGCAGCTGCTCTCCATTCTATTCTATGACCCCATAGAATAGAATGGAGAGATTGTGCCGCTTCTGAAGCGCGACTCCAGAGAGAAGGGGTTTAAACTTTAAACCCTTTCTCTCTTCGCTGCCCCCCCAGCCTGCCTTGGCAGCCTGGCTGGGGAAGGGAAGGCTTTTGAAGATCCCCCCCCCCTTTTGCTTCTCCAGCCTGCCTGCCAAGGCAGGTGGGGGAAGCGAAGAGAGAAGTGGTTTACAGTTTAAACCCCTTCTCTCTGCAGATCTCTCAATTCTAGAATAGAATGGAGAGATTGTGCTGCTGCTTCCCCCCCCTCCCCGCTTGCCATGGCAGGCTGGCTGGGAAAGGGGAGGCTTTTGAAGATCCCCGCCCCTTGTTTCTTGCTTCCCCAGCTGGCCTGCCAAGGCGGGCGGGGGGGGGGGAAGTGAAGAGAAAAGGGTCTTAAAGTTTAAACCCCCTCTCTCTGCAGATCTCTCCATTCTATCATATGGCCCATAGAATAGAATGGAGAGATCGCGCCGCTGCTCACCCACCCCTGCTTGCCTTGGCAGGCTGGCTGGGAAAGGGGGGGCTTTTGAAGATTCCCCCCCCTCATTTCTTGCTTCCCCAGCTGGCCTGCCAAGGCGGGAGGGGGGGAAGCGAAGAGAGAAGGGGTTTAAAGTTTAAACCCCTTCTCACTAGAGTTGGGCTGCAGAAGGAGGAAAGAAGAAAGGAGAGAGAAGGAACGAAGGAAGGAAAGAGTTGAAAGAAAGAGAAGGAAAGAGGAAAAGAAAGAAGGAAAGAAGGAGGGAAAGAAAGAGTTCGTTTTTTGCTTCCCCAGCTGGCCTGCCAAAGCGGGCGGGTGGAGGAAGCGAAGAGAGAAGGGTTTTAAAGTTTAAACCCCTTTTCTCTGCAGATCTCTCTGCAGATCAGCCTCAACCCCCGCCCCGCCACCCCGGAAATTGGAAAGCCTGTGCCCTTGCATACAGTGTAATGCTCTTCAGGGCATATACGGGAACAGGCAGTCCCTCAGATATGTGGGTCCAAGGCCGTGTAAGGTTTTAACGGTTATTACCAACACCTTGAAGTGAATCTGGAAATTGACTGGCAACCAATGCAGTTGGCAGAGCACCTGCTGAATGTGAGCCCACATACGCATCAATGTCAGCAGGCACACCACTGCTTTTTGCACCAGCTGTAATTTCTGGGTCAGCCTGAAGGGTAAGCCTACACAGAGCAAGTTTTAGTAATCAGGCCTGGAAGTGACCATTGCGTGGATCACTGTAGCTAAGTCCTGGGGGGAGAAATATGGTCTCAGCAGCCTTATCTGCCTAAGATGGAAAAATGCAGATCTGGCAACTGCAGTAGAGATAGAGGCATCCAGTGTTACTCCCAGGCTCCTCAGTTTCTGGGTTGGCACCAAAAGCACCCTTTCCAGTGTGGGGAGTCTGAACCCCCCCCCCCCCCCCCCGACCCAGGTACAGGACCTCTTCGATGGATTAAACTTCAACTGGCTCTGCTGCAAACATCCAGCCACAGAAGATGGATGGCCGTCCATTAACAGATAGAGCTGGGGGTCATCTGCATATTGATGGCAACCCAGCCCATAACTCCTGGCTAACTGGGCAAGGGGGCGCTTACAGATGTTAAATAACACTGGCGAGAGGATCGCCCTTTGCGGTACTCCACATTCAAGTGAGTTAGAACAGTTAGAGTTCAGTTAAGCAGAGGAGGATACCAAATTAGGGAAGTGGAACCAGTAGTCCTTCCCTGAGGGAAATAGCTCCTAGTAAAGGGGGAGTGATCCCTGTCAAATATTTAAGAAGGAAAATTGGAAATTGCGTGAATGTTCCTGCCTTCACAAACTTAAGTACTTTTGATACAAAAAGCTTATGTCTGTTTATTAAGCAGTTACTGCCAAGAGACCTCTCTCCACAGTTTTATTTATTATTTATTTATTTATTTATTTCATTCAACTTTCTATCCCGCTCACCCCCCTAAGGGGCTCTGAGTGGCTTACAATTCTAATTTTTCCGAACAATCCTCATCTAGGGCCACATGTAAGTCGGGAAGGTGAAATTCCTACCAGGCACCCTTGTTCTGTAGCAGATCTTCTTCCTTGCGAGGGGATAGTCCCGCGGCGACCCTTCTTCGGTGCTGGTCTTTGTTGTTCCATTTTCTCCGGCTGTCGTAACTCCGCCTTCAGGCCAGGACCACTTTGTGCTTCTGCGCATGCTCGCAGCGGCCTCTGTCCAAGTCAGGCTCTGGCCTGCCGCGTCGCTCCGCCTCCGCGCCTAGTTGGTCCGGCCTCCTTCATCCATCACCTCGTCTCGCCAGCCGCCATTTTTCCGCCGTCGCCACCACTCATCTCCGCTCTCCGATGTCGCCGCTACCTTCCCTGAGGGAAATAGCTCCTAGTAAAGGGGGAGTGATCCCTGTCAAATATTTAAGAAGGAAAATTGGAAATTGTGTGAATGTTCCTGCCTTCACAAACTTAAGTATTTTTGATACAACAGTCGAAGCTGTTCGCCCAGATGTTTTAAAGCAGGCTTCCCTTACTGCCTGCGCCACCGCTGTCCCTTTTAAAGACCTGTCTGTATAACAAAAGAGCAACTTTATTGTGACAAACTATTTGTTATATATATACAAAGCTACCTCATTCCTATTGCCTGTTTACCTGCCAAATTCCAAACCTGATACCTACCTGACCATTTATCTATAGAAGTGAAATAAAGCAGTTTGTTTCTTTTGAATTAACATCAGCCTCTATCTAGTGTGCCATAATCTGATTTATACAAACCAAAAATGTTGTTGGTCCCCCAGTTCCCTAGCCTGGGTCAGCACATATCTATATACTTTTACACAAAACAGTGGGACAGACAGCGAAACCAAGAATAAAAGGGTCTGGCCAGCCAGGAAAAAGAAGAAAGGAAACAGAGGGGAATCATATCTGTTTTTCCTCTGTACTGTGAGCAGTTGGCATCAGATGAACACATTTTTAGTCTGGAAGGCCTTCTAAAATTTCTTTCCTGGTGCTTTTAAAAATGTTTTTACATGTGAATGATTGTGAGTCCTGTTTTGAATTTGTTGTGTTATTTTTTCAGTGTGTGTTCAGTAAACTACCTTAAGTCTTTATTTCAAATAGAAAAGTAGGATATAAATACTCTAAAGTAAAATCCTTCTTTTATAAAAGAAAAAAGATGGTGTTCTTTTGCACATTCCACTAATGTCCTTTGTCTGAGAAATGTTTATCTGCAGTATCTCCTTCAAAGACTAAAACAGGTGATTTTTTTTAATGGACTAAGAAATACTTTCTCCCTCCTCTGCCCAGTAGTCTTCCTAGGCTGTTTATATTTTAGCAACTTACATCAGTGAAAAGACAGCTTCAGCTAGGTGGTGTGAAGTTGCCACTGGCATGATTCCAGTGTCTGAAACACCTCTTCTCCATTGCTGTTTCATAGCTCCCCTGCCAATCTAGCCTCCAGCTAAAAAAAAAGCAGCCAGTTTTCAGGTTGTACTACCATATTGAGGATTAGGGGCCAGAGGATCCTGCACAAGCACAAAATGAACTATGTGTTCCTCAGATCACAATTGGGGAGGGAATCTTTCAGATGTTCCCCAAGCAGCCCAATACTATACATATTGGGCTGGATCCTGTTACTCCCTTCAACCAGTTTTTCTCCAAATAGATCTCTGTTTAAAAAAGACTTTTGTTTCTCAGAGGAAAACTTTTTCTATCTGAAAAAGTCGTTGCCTACTGGAGGAAGTCTTTTTCTGAAGCAAGACATAATGGAAGGGGGTTACAGAATCTAACCTAGCAGAAAGAAGTCATAGGATCCAACCCATTTACTCAGAGATTCCACTAGCTTAATGGGACTTATTCCGTCTTCATAAATAGATCTTCACAGATGGAGAAAATAATCCTTCCAGCCTGGAAAGCAATTGAACTGACTCCCCCCCCCCCTCTGCCCAGAGAGAAAAACGTTTAAAATTCAGAGCGAAGGTTTTACTCAGTTCAAACGTCCAAAGAATAAAAAGGTATTTCTTCACATCATCAAATGGAAAAGACGTATTCAGCAAAAATCAGACTAAAGGACAGAAGGTTTGAAAGTGGCAATTCTCAAAGCTTTTACGGACAGCGCATGACATCCGTGAGTAGTTTAAAAAAGTGTTTCGCAATTTTGCTAGATCCCGAAGCGACGCTTTCTCTCCTCCGCGGACGTTACCCTGCTTATGGGAGACCTTGCCCAGCCTCCTCACAAGTTATTTCTAGGGACTCGGGGGTCTTTAAACCAGCTTCCGAGGAGAGAAAGAGGGTGGATTAAAAATGCCCCAGAGACTCTGGAAGGAATCGGCGAAAACGTCAATGCCGCGGTCGCAGGCCTGGCCTGGCCTGGCCGCCCCGCCCTCTTCCCTTCCGCCCCGGCGACCGGGAGCGCGCTGCTGAGCGCCGGAACGAAAAAGCAGGCGGGCGAGCACGCGCAGCCTGGGCCCGGTCGGCCTCTGCCCGCCTCTCGCCGTCAGTCAGCCATGGCGGCTGCAACGGCGGCCTCGCAGCGGGACCCTGTCGGGGACTGGCAGGACTTCTCGGGATTCCAGCCGCCCGCTACGGAGGTCGAGTGTCCGGAGCCCTCGGCGACGCCGGCTGGAGAGGGGGGCCCTTGGGACGATGGAGACGGCGGCGACCTGGGGACCAGGCTTCCGCTTTGCTTCCAGCCTCCTCCTCCTCCTCGGCCCCCTCGGAACTGTGAGGGCGGCGGAGAAGCTCGTCTCCTGCCGCGGCCCCTGGGCGAACAGAGCGCTTTGCAGGAGGACGAGTGAGTGGCTGGGGGGGTCCTTCGCCCCTTCGGGATGGGGGTGGGGTGGGCTTGCAGCCGCATAAGGAAACGCAGCCCTGAGCCTCTGAAGGGCGTTTCGGCGCCGATGCCTTTGGACTCCCCGGCAGCCGGCTTCGGGGAAATGGGAATGAATGGGATGCGGCTGCAGCCTCCAGGATACCGATGATGCCAGCTGTGCCCAACCCTCCCTTTCCCCGGCCGCAGCCAGAAACCTTTCGGAGGCACCTTTGCCTGGATACACGTCGTTACTGTCTCTAGCTTGAAGTTTAAACTCTGAGCACCTGGAGTCAGCCAGGATAGTTTTCCGCGTTCCTGGTCGCAGTTTCTTTTACTTTGGATGCTGATCACGGCTCGTGTCCTTTAATGGAATGGGGCGAGCAACTTGACCCGTTGGCAGGAATTTGGTCTTCCTTTCTCCTTTATGTGCAAGGGCAGTTCCCATAACAAAGCTTCTGTGTCTCACTGGATGTAGAGAATGAGAGTGTTCAAAACCTTCTAGCTTTGTGGCACAACCGTTGTGTTTCATTTCTAGCTATAAACTGGGCCTACGAAGTGCAATTAAGAGTTGTGAGCCAAAGATCTCTATGTAACTTAAGCCATGGGCTGTGGCTAGTGAAACCAGTTTCATGTGCATAGCCATGTTAGTGTGTTGTAGCGGAACCAAATTCGGGTCCAGTAGCACCTCATGGCCCTGACCTGGATAGCCTGGGCTAGCTCCGTCTCATCAGATCTCTGAAGCTAAGCCCTGGTTACTATTTAGATTGAAGACCACCAAAGAAGCCCAGGTTCATTGTACAGAAGCAGGCAATGGCAAACCACCTCTGAATGTCTCTTGCCTTGAAAACCCCATGGGGTCACCATACATCAGCTGTGACTTGATGGCATAATAATAATAATAATAATATAGTAGTAGTAGTAAAAAGCACCTTTGGAACCAACAGTTTTCCAGGGTATAAGCTTTTGTGAGTTGTCTGACAAAACTGAACTTTAATTCAAGGCAGCATATACCCTGGAAAATTTAGGTGCTGCTGGACTCAAATTTTGTTAGAGAAGCCACTGACTCATGTTCCTTCCCCTATCTTAGTTTGAGTAGTAGTTTGACCTGCCTTAAGCATTGCTTCTAAGGATTAAGAGAATTAATATATATGCATTGCCTCAATTCCTAAGCAAATCTGGAATGTTACAAGTTCTCTAAGGATGAATTTGGAAGCCCTTTCACAATGATGCTCCTAAACTAATGTTGTCTATGTGTTGCCGAGAGCTGGTGTGGTATAGTGGTTAGTGTGACAAATGTGGAATGGAGAGGCCCCGATTCAAATCCTCACTGTGCTATTAATCTCACTAGGTGACTTTAAACTAATCGCATGTCCCTCTCTCAGTTCAACCCACCCCATGGAGTTGTTAGAGTACAATTAGGAAAGGAGTATGATGCATGCTACCTCTGAGTTCCTTAGAAGAATAGTGGGATAAGAATAGATTATGATGATGGTAATTCAGCCTCTTCTTAAATTCTGTGGGTCAAGTGTTTTTGTGGGAGTTTTATTTAGTATTGTACTGTGTTCACTGCTTAGCATGCACAAGAATCTAACCGGGGCTTCTGGTACTACCTCAGTCTTACAATGGAGATCTACATGAAAAAAGCAAGCTCACATTCATAGGCACACTGCTGTCCATATCAGAAGATGAAAACAACAAATTCAGTGGGCCTAGATTAATTTTGTTGAGGCAGATTTGCATCCACATTGGCAGTGTACATTTATCCTTGAGGCTTCTTGTATGTACCTAGAGCTGAAATTGGAGCCATTCAGTTTTAGAGAGATTCTTCTTATGTGTGACACTCTAAGGAGTTACTTAAGGATTCACCAGCTTAAGCTTATTTAAAGGCTTAAAAAACCTGTTTAATTGTAATTAAAGTTATAATGAAATCATGATTTGACAATTGCTGTACAGTTGGGAAGCATTTTCATGATTTCGTCACCTGGCATTTGAAAAAGTAAGTGAACTATTCCACTTGCTAAATTCTTAATTTAAGCCAATGATTTTGTTTTGCGCTGGAATTAAATACTGGATATGAAAGCATTGAAGTGAAAGTTCACAAAAGGGTTTGGGGACAGAGTTTCTTGAAGACAACAACAGTTTTTTGATTTTAAAGCTAGAATTTTGTTTCCTTAATTTTCTCCCCTCAGGATTTGGAATGCTCTGACTGATAATTACGGTAATGTAATGCCAGTGGACTGGAAGTCTTCCCATACCAGATCACTGCACCTGCCAACCCTGAATCTTTCTGAAAAGGGAGTAAGTATTGAGCTTCAAAACTCTGAGTGGGTTTTTCAGTCTGAAACTATGGAACAGAAACAAATGTTAGTGTTTTACAATTTCCCTGTCATTGTAAGTAGTGAGAGCCAGTTTGGTGTAGTGGTTAAGTGCGCGGACTCTAATCTGGGAGAACCGGGTTTGATTCCCCACTCCTCCACTTGAGCCTGGCTGGATGACCTTGGGCAAGCCATAGTTCTGATAAGAGCTGTCCTTGAAAAAGAGCAGTTTCTGTCAAGAGCTCTCTCAGCCCCACCCACCTCACAGGGTGTCTGTTGTGGGGAGGGGAAGGGAAAGGAGTTTGTAAGCTGCTCTGAGACACCTTTGGGTAGTGAAGGGCGGGGTATAAATCCAATCTCTTCTTCTTCTTCTTCTTCTTCTTCTCCTCTTTAAAACATCTCCTCCCACTTTCCTACATCCTTAAGAATTACTGCTAAGTTTTTGAAATTCTGTGTTTTCACCGCTTACCTGTATGATCGCAGTGCTACATGCTGTAAGATCATATGCAAGTTCAATTTCAAGTTAGTAGAATTTATGCACATATAACCTACAGTGAGATCTATTTTTTACATTTTTACTTGCTTGGATTCAGCAAGAGAATCTTAGCATTATAGTCTTCTACATTAGAGCCCGAGGTGGCTTCTATGCAGGGATTTTTCCCTGCATGGACAGCAGGAAGCCCCCTCAATCTTCACAAATATAAACTTCATTTTCTCCAAAGTAAAGGGGAAAGTGCAGGGTAGCTGAAGGTGAAATATCCATCTGGATGCTCCTCAGTAGCCACCAGAATGTGGGATGGCTGAGTTAAACTCCATATTCTCTCTCCCCCCCCCCCAACCCTATAAAGGTTTTTAAAGTGCATGTATAAAACAATTAAAACATTAACAGAAAGGAGCATCAGGAAGAACGAAACAAAAAAACCTTCATCTGTTGTACTGGAAACAGTCACAGCAAAAAACCCAAGTAGTGGCTTTGAAGTGACTTGATGAATCATAAAGTGTCTTATAAATGGAATTACGCGTGACTTAGGGTAACCTCACGTGTTTAAATGTGTTTTTATGTGGCTTTAGACAACAATAATTAAATGAACAGATTGTAGAAGAGGGTGCCCGGAAGTTAAAAGTACCTTTGGGAACATTACCTGTAAGGAAAATAATACCCTGAGGAGTAAACACTGGTCAAGATCTTTCTGTAGTTATGCAGTTCTCTTCTCCTTGACAACAGGCCCCGCTTTTGTTATAGCATTTTTTTTATATGACTGCTTCTCATGATCCAGTGCTCTCAGACTGTACTTGTGAATATGTGGGTAAGTCTTCTACAATGTCTTGGAACACTGGAAATCAGTTATATATTCTGATCTGTTCTGTGTGGGTTGCAGGGCTTCTGTTCTGATCACATTCTAGCTGTATCTGAAGACGTGAGCAGTGACTCACGAAAGCTCATACCCTGCCACAAGTTCTGTTAGTCTTTAAGGTGCTACTGGACTCTTGCTCTTTTCTACTAATACAGATGGACTAACATAGCTACTCATCTTGTTCTGATCTTGATTCCACTATTGAGGCAGTATAATCACCGGCCATTACCAGAGTTCCTGGCTGTCGCATTTTCTTGGATGAATTTCATTTATTGCAACCTGAGTACTTGGAATGGTCTGCCCTACCATGTATCCATCACCATTCAACCATCATCCTTCGTAGGCAATTTCATCCAGCTGGAGGGGAATGATGGGCTGGGTCCAGTGGGTTATAAAGGCTTCTTTGAAAGATAGAGCCATTGCAGCTGCTTGAGGCAATCCTTAGATACTGGCAGTTACACTGTGGAGTATCTCGTGCTGTTTAGCATCTTTATGCAAACATTAGTTGAAGTTGTCAAGGAATTTGGAATGAGGTACCATCAGTATGCTAATGAAAGCCAATTCTGTTTAATTAATCGTTTAATCAATCTGATGGTGCTGAGGAAGTACAGAACAAGTAGCTAGGTGCCTAGAGCTTGTTTCAAGCTTGTTTTATTTCCGACTTATGGTGACCCATGGATATATGACCTCTACAACATCCTGTCATTGACGGCCTTTCTCAGATCTTGCAAGCTGAAGGCTGTGGCTTCCTTTATTGAATCAATCCATCTCATGTAAAATAGCCTCAGTTTAGTCAAGATAATTCAGGCTTGATTTGATTTGTGTGTGTGTGTGATGTGCCGTCAACCCAAATGGTATCCATAAAATTATCTTAACACTACATTAAAAATGAATCAGTTTTCTTCCTGCCAGCTTTTTTCATTGCCTGACTTTCACATCCATACATAGTAATGGGGACTACCGCAGTATGAATTGTCTTGATCTCCAGTGGCACTTCCTTACACTTAAAGATCTTTCCTAGGCCCATAGGGGCTGCTATAATGGATAGGGTAGATTCCACCTCTCCCTAAGAGCAGCCAATGAGAGTGGATGGAATGTTGAGAGTGGGGGTTGGAAAAAAACAGCAGTTGACAATGGCAGTTGGTGGTTAGTAGCAGAGGAGCTGGCAGCTTAGGAGCTCGGGGTGGGGGAAGGAAGTATGACGGAGTAGAACGGTGCAGAAGAGCTGCTTAGAGCAGGCTGAAAATAGTAAATTTGTAACTAAAGGTTCTCAGTTGTAGGAATGAGAGAGGTTTAAGAGGGTGGTAGATCGGAGACTGATGGGCAGATGTACTGTTGTAATAACTTGTATTTTAGCAATTTCCCTTTCTAGTTTGTTCATGAAGTTCCTTTGCTATAAAACATCTACTTTGAGGTCACCCACTGAATATCTGGAAGGCTGCAGTGTTCTCCTACAGGTTTCTCAGTCTCGTGATTCTTGATGTCAGATTTGTGTCAGTTTATCCTTTGACATAGGGTTTGACCTGTTTGCCCAGTGTAGAGAACTGAAGGGCACTGTTGGCAGGCTAGACTAGAACTGACTAGAAAGGGAAATTACTGTCTTAAAACACTCTGTCCAGTGATACTTGAAACAATTTTGCAGGGCCTGTAAGATGAAGTTGTTCTGCCAGGTGCATGGTCAAGGATGAGTGGCAACCCCCCAGTACGGACCAATTTCAGATCTGCCCTATTGTGCCATTGAACATGGAATTGTTAACATTAGGATTGTTAATTTTAATCTGAACTGAAATTAATTTAATTGTATGTTGATTCTAAATGTTGCGACCTGTCCTGAACTTTACTGTGTAGGGGAGGGCAGGCTATAAGTCCAATAAATAAATACTCAGAAAAATGGAACCCCTTGGACTTAACAGGGATGTTGGTTTATTATCTCAAAACATATGTTAATCTCATTCAGTCCTTACATCTGAATGCTCGCCACTCCCCCAGAAGCGCTATACACCCTTTTTATTTTATTACATATTTGGAATAGTAGATTGGAATAGCAGATTGCAATGTAATGAATACTAGAATGTAATGTAATTTGGAATAGTAGATTGGAATAGGGGTGTGCAAGCACACCCCCCCCCCGTATTTTTCAGTTTGGGGCTATTGGACCTGAAAAAAATTCAGGATTCCTGAAAAATTCTGGATCCCAATACTAGTGTAGTATTCAGAAGTGAGAATTTTTAGAAATCCTGATTTTTTGGGGGTCCAATAGTCCTGGGAAGACGAAAAAACTGGGGGAGGAATTGCATACCCAAAGCTGTGCCGGGAGGAAGCAGTCCGCTCACTGCCAACACATCTGATCCTTGGGCTGGCTTTAAACGGGGCTGCACAAGAGGCCAACCCAAAGCTGTGCTGTGCTGGAGGGGAATGAACCCTCCAGCACAGATGATCCTCAGGCTGGCTTCTAGTGCAACCCGGTTTAATCTGGTCTACATGAGAAGCCTGCCCGAAGCTATGCAGGTGGGGAACGAACCACTCCCCACTGGCACAGGTGATCCTCGGCCTGGCTTGTAGTGCGGTCCTGTTTAAACGGGGCTGCACGAGAAGCCAGCCTGAAGCTGTGCCAGCGGCGAGCAGGCCGCTCCCTGCTGGCACAGCTGATCCTTGGGCTGTCTTCTGCAGTCCCTTTAAACTTTAAAGGGACTGCAGTAGAAGCCCGACAAACAGTGGAAAAACTGCCTCTCAGCTGTTTTTCAGATCTACCCAGTAATTCCCAAATATATATGTTTTTGGCTTGGGTAGATCCAAATGCACACCCCTAGATTGGAATGCATTTAACTTGTCTGAGGACAGAGGAGCTACACTACAAAGCCAATCACACCACCTCAAAGAAGAGGATGCTGTACAGTTGGCTCCATACTTGAGAGGAGATGGATGAAGCATAATAAGAGGGTCTCAGTTAATCTCAGCATTCCACAATTAAGAAAGGTACACCTGCCCATCAATCTCTGATTTTTAAATATTTCTTTCACTGTGTTTCTCCCCGGAATTACACCCAAACAAATGGGGATCATATAAACTAAGCTTTTTATTCCAGGTTGATCCTTTCATCTGTTAAACACCTTTATGCTAATTTGCTGCTCACCCTCTGCCTATGTGTATGGACTGGTAACTTCTGTTTCAGTGTAGCTGAAGAAGTGTGCATGCACACAAAAGCTTATACTTTGAATAAAAATTTACTGGAACATTCCCAAACTTCATATTCATTGTGTTGAGACTTATTAGCTCCTATATAGCTTGCCTGTTTTTGTATCTTACAGTAGTTTAATATTAAGTCTAATTTTACCTTCCTTTTTGTCATCCTTCTCTATGCTTAGGTTAATGACAATTTGAACCTTGATTTATCAGATGATGAAGAGCTGAGAGAACAGCTGGATATGCATTCTATCATTGTTTCCTGCATCAACGAAGAACCAATCTTCACAGCTGAGCAGGTAACCTAGTAGTGCAACAGTGCAGTTGAGGTATCATTATGTCATTAATCCTTTCATCGCCCTGATGGAAGAAATAATGATAAATACTCCTGGAGACAAACTGGTATCTTGAATGGAGCAAAATACTGCTGTTCCATTTGTGCTATTTCCTTAGCTCACCAAAATGTTTGCTGTTCTTTCTAAAGTTTGCCTTACTTTCTTATTAGGATTAGGTCAAAACAAGCTTGACTTTAAAGTAGAAGCAATGTGAAAGTAGATCATAAAGAATCAAATGGATGTTCAGTTTCTAGCATAGTGGCTTGATACTGAAGGGCTAGGGATAGTCTGCTGTTTTGTGGAACGATATAACTGTTTGAATTTGCTTCCAATTGCTGGATCTGGTTGCAGTAAGAAATATGTAAAGTTTTTTTTTTCCTTCTAGACTAGATAGTTATATTGCTGCACATGTATCACTCAGATGGATTTGCTTTACCACATCTATACCTAGTATGGCAGACAGTGCTGGAATGGTGCCCTTAGGTCTCTTCTGTACTCTGCTTAAACCTAAATAGTAGCAGCTAACCTTTTTGGAATATATATGATAACACGGGGGGTCTCCCATCCAGCACTGACTGGACTCAAACATGCATAGTTTCATTTAAGGCTGCAGTATAATGAGCTTTCAAACTATCCCCTGAGACCAGCCATATAATTCTAGGATTCTTATTAATTGCTTTTAATATTTTTAATAATGACAACAAGAATCAACAGTATTAAAATAAGGAATACCTGAGATCATCGCAACAGGGCCCCTGAGAGAGGCCATCTTTTCTGTTGTTTTCAGATACCTTAATTAGCCTTTCTTCTCTTTGTTGAAACCAACAAAGATGAAAGTATGTGCACTGTATGTTTATGACGTTTCTCTGGTAGTCTTGTGTGTTATGATAGTAGGGTACTTTTTTTTAACCTCTGACAAGTCCGCTTGAGGGGGAAAAAAGACTAAGGTTGCAGTTTCAACAATGGCAGGATAAAGAGCATTCACCACGATCCATCTTCCATAACAGGTAGCAGGAGACTCATAAAAGGATCACAGCTGGAAGTTCCATCTTAATTAACATTATATGATAGTAAGGCTTAAAATTCCCCTTGCACATTTAGCAGATCCAGTTTTTCCCTGTGAAACGTAAATAAAGGTTCATTAAAATGAATGGACAAAATATAGGCTCCATGAGTGTGTTTAGCTCTTGGTATTTTCACTTATTTAAAAACACAGATTTCGGTGAGTGAATAAAGATATGAGTTGTGGTGTAAGCAAATATTGCTTTATGTGTAGTTATATTCAACAGAGAGTTGGCTAAAAACAATACCTTGGTAGTTCCCAATTCCAGGCCTAGCAGCATTCGTATCAAATGTGAATGTTATCTTTCTGTTTGGCACACATGATGAGATAAAACTCCCATCAAAATGAACATCCTACTGAAATATTTAAAAGTCTGGGTGGAGAAGATTATGGGGTGATTATGGCATATCTTACTGCAGCTGAAGGGTTGTGATGTTGGGGGGTGTCAAGAGAGGAAAATGTATTGCCTACTCTAATAAGCAAATCAGAAGAATAAAATGTTGGTACTATATCATTAAAGCTACCTTTTAGATAAATTTAGCAGTGGGGATTGCTGTGACAATGTTACATGTATCTAATGGTAAATTGAAGACCTGTGAGGATGCCATTCAAACAGAAGACTCAGGGTTGCCATCCCCCCCAGTGGGGCCAGGGGATCCCCTGACTTTGGGGGCCCTAATCCACCGCTGGCCCCACCAGTTATTTAGGAAGCCCCACCCCCAAATAGCAGTGTCCCATGGGGACACTGCTGATGCAATGACATCACCAGTAGTGATGTCATCACACTGGGGCCATCATGCGGTGATGCTCTAGCATTCGGGGGGGGGATTCTATGGTTACCATAGAAGAAGAAGAGATTGGATTTATACCCTACCTTTCACTGACCGAAGGAGTCTCAGAGCAGCTTACAATCTCTTTTCCGTTCTCCTACCCCTGTGAGGTAGGTGGGGCTGAGAGACCTCTTTTGAGAACTGCTCATGAGAGAACAACTCTGAGAGAACTTGTGACTGACCCAAGGTCACACCAGCAACTGTATGTGGAGGAGTGGGAAATCAAACCTGGTTCTTGCAGATTAGAGTCTGGCCTCCTAACCACTACACTAAATTAGTTTTTGCCTCAAACGCTAGAACATCACCGTGCAACGGTCCTAGCGTGATGACATCACTACTGGAAGATTTTCTCATTAAAGTCTCAGCAGTGAGACCCCCGCCACAGGAGAGGTGAGACCTGGTAACCTTAGACTCAGTGGGGAAACAAATATTTTTTTTAAAAAATGTATTAAGCACTTGAACAAAAAGATGTTCTATACAAAAAGTATAGATACAGGGTTACAGTTTTGTTGTAGCTGTAAAAAAATGTGTAAGCTGTGTTCAGAGCAGAATAACAAAACTTTAGTAATTTGCTTTTTAAGATAAAACCAGATAAGGTAATATCATCTGTTACCATCACTGTTCCCTCTAAGCTGAGTTAGTGTGAGCTAGCTCACAGTTTTTTAGCCTCTAGCTCACATATTTTTGTCTTAGCTCAGGAAGGATGGCTCCAGAGCAAGCTTATCTATGCAGCAGCCAAATCGCTTGCTCACCACTTGAATGCCTGTAGCTCACAAAGTAGAATTTTTGCTCACAAGACTCCACATCTTAGAGGGAACATTGGTTACCATCTATCAAATGTTTGAGAAAACATATAATTTTTAATTTCCTTCCTGGAACCATAAGAGGCAATATTAAAGTCATTTTTTTCTGTGATGCATTCAGTTATGGAGCAACCTCATACCACTATGGGTCATATTTCTCAAAGGGGGGGATATATATCCCATTATCTCAATGAGACATTCCCTCAAGAACATTTAACCAGACAATATTGAGACTCATGACTAACAACCAGAACCAGTACATAACTGTGTACTTTGATTTTAACAGGTGATTGAAGAAATAGAAGAAATGATGCAGGAATCTCCAGATCCAGATGATGATAAAACACCAACCCAGTCAGACCGTCTGTCCTTACTATCCCAAGAGATTCAGACACTGAAGAGGTCCAGCACAAATCACAATTACCAAGAGGGTAAAGGAATCCATTTTTTTCTTTTCTTCCTATAAATCTGAGTAACAAAACAGGCCATTTCTATATACTAGGCGGAGGGTGATGAGTTCCACATAATTTATATTCAGAAACCTTCATTGCCTCATAGTTGGTGCTCAACTCACTGCCGCGGGCTGATATCTTCCCAAATGCATCTGGTGAGGACTTGCTTTTTGCCTTGCTGTTACTGCCGGAGTGATACCAAAAGTTCATAGTCCTCTGGTGTGGCCAGCTGTCATGTGGCAAGGTGCTCTGTTGGTTTGCGCTAGGTGTCTAAGAGATACAAATGGAAGCCCACCCCTACTGCGTGTCAGACTCCTGGATAGAATTACTCTCAACAACACTCTCTTTTGCAGTGATTTGTTTATTGAGATATAATCATATTCCAGGCTAGTGCAGTACCATGTCAGAACTGAGGCTCTGGCAGGAGAATCCAAAGATATAGACAGTTCAAACAGAGCCCCCTCTCCCCTGCATCCAATCACACTTCACAGTCGTCCCGCCCAGCTTTCGCGCTCACTACCCCCCCACCTGTGAATATATGGTTTCTTTATAAGGTAAGCTGCCACAGTCTTGGCTTCAAGGTCATCCCTGGACTAGGGTGGTAGCTTGGGAGGAAGAGTTACAGCATCTACGATAGAGCAGTTCACACACACTCAGTCATTCACACACACACCCCAGGAATTTCCCTCTCCTTACAAATCATGGCAAACTAGAGACAGAGTTTGACACTGAGACAGCTTTGTTCAAATAATTTATAAGCAATCCAGAAGTTCAAGGTTTTGACCTTTAAGTCCTTGAGCAGTCTGGGACCAACGTATCTGCGGGACTGCCTCCTCCAGTACGCACCCAGGAGAGCATTACGCTCTTCACAGAACAACTTGCTGGTGGTCTCCGCCCCTAGAGTCATCCAGCTGTCCTCGGCCAGGGCCTCCTCGGCCCTGGCCCCAACCTGGTAGAACTCTTTGCCGAACAACATCAGGGCCCTGCGGGATCTTATGCAGTTCCACAGGCATTTGGTTGAGGACAGTGATGGTTTACATCATGACGGGCACCCTTCCTGGGTCCCTATCCCTTGATGGGTATACTCCCTGCCCCGTGCCCATAAAGCACCCACAGGCCAGAAACAGGAGGGAACCACAAATGTTGCCACTTTGTTTTAATTAATGAATTATATGTTCTGGTGATGGTTTTATGGTTTTATTGTTTTTAAATCCGTGCATTGCCTAGAGCCCCACATTTGTGGGGATTAGGTGATTCAAAAATGCAAATAAATAAATAACTAAGCTAAACAATTGTGATCTTTGAAAATGAAATGTTTCCCTAAACGCTTTGCTAGAATTTTGTCAGGGTTCTCCAGTCCCACAGTTTTGAAATGCCTTGCCATGAGCTGGAACTGCGTTGCTTGTTTTTCGAGAGACCTTTATGCCCACAATGGTATCATCAGGTCTCTGCAAAGGCTGTGCCTGCACCTGCATAGTGTGGATCCAGTTTTTCTGTCACTGGATATAAAAGTATTGAAGAAAGGCTTTTAAAGCAAACAGTAGTCTTCCACTACTTGGAGACTGTAGTTTCATAATATTAATGAAGTATGGATCTTTAAAATGATGAGTAGTTAACTAGCTGTTCTCTTCAGCCGTTACTGGTGATGGTAAAGGATTTAAATGTCTTTGGCAGTTATCAGTGTTGAAAAGGATGGGAAATATTTCCTCCTTGCAGTTTTCTACTACGAAAATTCCTATGGCACTGTTTAAGCAAGAGTGATGTATTTCATTTGTTTTTCTGGCAGGGTATGAAGAGACTGAGTGTTGTACGGTTTTTGAGCCATGCAGAAAGGGAGTATTACTCATTACACTATAGTTGCTGTGTCTTTCTTGCAAAGGTGTTTCTCCTCTGTTGTCCAAAGTAAAGTGGGCTGTTTTCTTCATTGGACAAATGAGAGCTCATGTAGTTTGTTAGATTATGAGCACTACAGGCGTCTCTTGATCTCTTAGGAACAGGAGTACTAAAATTCCGATTGATCTGTTTTTGATGGCATTATGTTACACAATGTTATTTCTTCTTTAAAAACAGGAGTAAAAAAGCTGTCTGTGACTGAGTTAAATGACCTGTTAGAAGAGATTGAGACAGCTATCAAGGACTATTCTGAAGAACTAGTACAGCAGTTGGCACTACGAGATGAGCTGGAATTTGAGAAGGAAGTGAAGAATAGCTTCATATCAGTCCTTATCGAAGTACAAAACAAACAAAGAGAACAAAAGGAAATGGCAAAGAAGAAGAAAAAGCTGAAAAATGGCAGTCCTCAGAATGGCAAACAAGAGAGAGGTCATATGCCTGGAACGGTAAGAATCTTGTGTCTCTAGAAATTTCTTTCACATCTTGAGTCTAGGTGATAAATTGCTCTTTATACCTTACCCATTAAGGAAGTATTAATAATCCTGAGTAACATTAAGGAAACATTAACACAAATGTTAAAGGAGAATTGTGTTTAGATTTCCCATAATCAGACTCTTGAGAATTGTTTAGATTCCCCATAATAACTGCTGTAACTGCTGTAGTACTAGTGATTTTTTCCCAGAGCTTCTGATGAGCAGCTGTGGGGTTTTCAAGATGTCACAGTCCACATATTTTTAGAGCAGATGTTGTCTCTATTAATAACCACACTGCCTACTCTGTTCTAGTGAGGTCATGCATAATCTTTCACCTGTATTGGGCAACGGTTAGAAAATAAAGTATGATGCTATGGCTGTAGAATTCAAAGATATTTGGTGACTTTGACGGGAAATATTACAAACTGATTATAACAGGACAGAGCCAGGGGCTCCTTCCTCCAGTTCTTTACCAGGCAGCAGCACAACACATGCTCAACTCAGTTCTGGTCTTACTGAGTTGCCTTCTCATCAGCATGGAAGTCATCCACACGCAGTACTATAGCAGTACTTACAAAGAGTGTGTTGAAAAGTAATTGTCAATGCAGTTGCTTCAGTAGCTACTAGGTATGCAACATTTACCCAATTAATTGGTTGGATGAATTGTTTAAAAGCATTTTGCTCAGTGAGAAAAGTGTCTTCAATTAGGGAACATTTAAAAAATTATTTCAATATGCATACTTTTTAGACCTGAGAGTGTTAATGTATACAGAGAAGACTTGCAATAACTTCCCTGAAATGAGAAAATACAGTGGCAGATGTAGATAGGCTTATAATATAAAAGTTATTTAAAAATTATTGACTAGTTAAACGTAAAAATACAAATGCTTATTCTAAAGAATGGGTGGCAGATGGTAGAGACATTCTCCATTTTTTCTCTCTTTCGTGGGAAGGAATGCCTCCTTGAGACTGATGCCCATTCCAGCATATGCATCATCTAAGAAAAGCAACATGCTTTCCCATCAAATCTTGTTTATATGCAAATTTATTCAAACAATTGATTATAGATCATATGATGGACCCAAATTTCTGTAATTAACTGACTGATGTTGTAGGTAAGCATATAATAATTGCTTTAAAATCTCTTGCATTGTTGTAATCACAAGGGGAAAGTAGTGCATGAGTGGGGTATCTGTGCTGAAGATCAGTCCCCAGGAAGCCCCTTCATTCCTTCCTCTTATGATGTGAGGGAAGGAAATTGACCGAGTGGAGCTTGCAAGAGGAAGTACCAAATTCCCCAGCCCATATCCTACTTCCTCATTGGAGCTTCTTTTCCCCAATGGAGGATTTTTAAACCCACTGCCCAAGAGGCTGGAAGTTCACATTCTTCTTAGTATTTATACTTGTACCTGCTGCTATTTGAATGGGATGGGGAATGTGAGGGGTTTGGCTGTTATACTGCATGTTGTGAGATTTGGTCCATTCTTTTAATCTTTCAGCTGTTATTACTGGGTCCTGTATTCTTCTTTGATTTTCCTAATTCAGTCAAAGTATAAGGAGTGTCCATGTATTCTTTTATATTGCCGTGTTCTTGTCAGAAACTTATCAACATACTTGCATAGTTTTTATACAGATTTAATATTGAGGTATCATCTGTTTTATGCATTGGTATTGCCTAACGGTTTTAGAAATTTTATGTATGCTATGCCTTTTCTTGTGGAGGGGATGGTTATTGATGCATTAAAAAGTCAGTGATGCCACTAAAGACTGGAGGGCTAAAATCACCATAATAGTTAGAATATGGGCTATGTGGAGATCTAGATTGCTTTAACCATTGTCTGCTGGCAGATGCTATGTTACTCCAAAGGCAAAGTTGACACTGACTGGAGGATTGAAGCCTAATCCATACTGCAGTTCGCTATGCCAGGATCTTGTGCTTGACTGGGGGAACCTGCCTGGAATCCGTACATTCCAGTCAGTGTGTGACATTCCACTCCACTCCTTGACCTCTCTGCCCTTTATGACTTCCATGATAATACCATGAAGGAGCTTTCGGCCTTCTAATATCTCATGGAAGATGTGAGTGTGCCATAATAGTGCTGCAATCACAGGAGAAGCTGAACTTGGCAAAATGTACTCTTCAGTGCAACTCATCAAAGTACGTGAGTCTCAGGCCCATAATAATCCAGCTTCCTCTGCTTGTCTATGTCTTCCTTTCCATAAACTAAACGCCTATCTTTTTATTAGGCCCTGTGTGAGGTTTTCTACGACCTCACTGTTTAATCACTTCAACTCTGTGCTCATGCCAGCCACGGTTTCTTTCTACTCCCTTTCTTATATACATTCTCAAGTCCTGCCCTATTTCATTAGCTTTCCGTTCCTCAACTCCTATGTTTTCTGCCTTCCTTTTCTGAGACGTCTGTCTCCTCTCCCTGCACAGCAGCTACTAGATTCTAAGAACATAAGAACATAAGAGATGCCAATGTTGGATCAGGCCAAAGGCCCATCCAGTCCAACACTCTGTATCACACAGTGGCCAGAAATACCAGTGCCATCAGGAGGTCCACCAGTGGGGCCAGGACATTAGAAGCCCTCCCACTGTTGACACCCCCCCCTCCCAAGCACCAAGATGACAGAGCATCACTTGCCCCAGAGTCCCTATCTATACCTTGTGGCTAATAGCCACTGATGGACCTCTGCTCCATATGCTTATCTAATTCCCTTTTGAAGCCGTCCATGCTTGTAGCCACCACCACTTCCTGTGGCAGTGAATTCCAAGTGTTAATCACTCTTTGGGTGAAGAAGGACGTCCT